GACCATGCTGAAGCACACGGTGCTCAACAGGAGCCCAGGGAGTGACTGTCGTGAATGACTGTTAATATCCCAGCTTGTGGGATATTTAAGAAAAGTAAGTGTTCCGCGTGGGTAGCACCTCGAATGGCAGGGCAGCTGTGGTATAGAAGGTGTTGGAAGTTCTCCAATCTAAGATGGCAAAGCCAAACGTGGTCCCTTTCGAGCGTGGGGACAGGGCACATCATTGGGGCAGGAGGCACTGCCAGCAACGCGCCCAGTGTCTGGGGTCTGCGTCGTCCTGGGCTCCCTGTGCAGCTTCTCCGTGAGTCCTCGTCCTTACCTGGTGTCCTTAAAGCTCTTCAGGAACAGAAATTCCATGGGGTTTGGCACCGGGCATTTCTCATATTTTACTTCCACCTTGTACTCTTGTCAAAGCAGACTGTTGGGCTGATGTTTGCCTCAGGCTTAATGTCTTTTATTCTTCCTTGCGGCTGGGAGTCAGCGCTCTGGTCTTGTTCTTTCAGTGCTGCCCTGGCCAAGGCTGGGTCCAGCTGCGTTTCAGGCTAGGCCCAGCTGCGAGCCTCTTGCTGCCAGGACCAGCCCTGCCTGGAGCACAGCGTGAAGCCTGGGAAGACTTGGCTGCCTCATGGAAAAGTCACTTTAATCGGGTGACAGGCCGCAGGCCTGACGTGTTGACCCTTTCGTGCCGAGTTTTCCTGACCCTTCTGATGCCGCCTTTAGCTCTAGGCAAATGGATGTTGGGAGCTGTGGAGCACGGACATGTAGTTTCTGGTGAACTTTGGTGTTTGACTTGTGTTTGCTGCCCATTCCCTGGGGCAGAGGCAGGCGGGTCGGGTTCTCCCGCTCCGTCTGTGTGCGCTGTCCGCCGCCTCCAGGGGCAGCACCGTGGCGGCCTCTCCGGCCCTCTCGGTCCTGGAGTTTTCCTACTTCCCAAATGCCCTGTGGGATGAAATTCAGCAAAATCCTATGGGATCATCACCACTTGGAAGTTTTTTTTTTTTTTTGAGACTGGTGTTTTCTGAAAAACTCCTTCACACGTGGAGTCCCTCCGGTTTCACTGAGGTAGCTGCACTCCCTTTTACCAGAAATAAATGTGCCTAAGCCTTCATCTCCTCGCAGGGGGCTGTTACCACATGACACCCTGCTATTTCTCCTGCCTTATCTCTTAATTAACTAATCTACAATAATGCTCTTTTCATTTAAAAAAAAAAAAGTTTGTGATCTGCCCCCATTTTACACTGATGGGCAGGGATAATGTTCATTTGGGGTTTGTTTGTTTGTTTTTAGACTAAACAAATAGGGTGAAACTAAGTAATTGCATTTCTGGGCTCCCTTTTACTTTTTCGCATCAGCTCTGGAAATCTTCCTTGGCCCTTGGTTGGGAAGTGGGCTGAGCCCAGCGCCCGATATAGCCGTCAGTCCCATGCTCCTTGCTAAGCTGCACGCATGCACTTGCCTGGTATTATAAAACATCCGAGCTGTTGTAATGCAGCAGGGCTAATCTTATCAATTGTATTAAGGCTACTTAGGAATTAATAGCTTTAAGGAAGCCGTTTATATTTTCTCCTTTAAAGCATTCTGATGTTCTATGTCTCTTCAAATAAATGTCAGCAGTAGAAGGGCCACTTTTCCTGGGCAAGTCATTTTTAAAAGTAAGGGATATTTCTTAAAAAGTGTTCTTTGAGACCTGAGTTTAGCTTTTAGATCTCAATACCTGGATTTAAGCTGCTAATCCCCATGGAGGTACCTAAAAAGAAGTGGCCTGGTTTGTGCCAGTTAAGCTCACATCCTTCTGAAGTTGATGTGAGCTGAAGTTTATTAGTTTGAAAATGAGGGCACAGCTCTGGAAGTTCTTAAATTGTTCCGAGCAGACAGGTTTGACTACTCGAGCTGTATATGTAAATTTAAAATAAAATAATAGTGATGCTTCTTTTTGAATATCTGTTGCGAGGGGAAATGAATGAAGCGAATTAAAAAGGAGAGGGAAAAAAAAAAGGTAAAAAGGGTAATAAACTAATAAACCCGATTCTACCCATTTCCAAAGATCCCAAAGATGCCAGTGACTTCAGTTTTCCAGCTCTTCTAAGTGAAGCCTCTAAAGGTGGCGCAATTCCTGTGTGTTACAAGAGGATAATACTAAAATTGGTGGCAAATTCTGTTTCTGTTAAGAGGAAAGCAATTTTGGAGGCTGTCTGCTGGCACCTGAGAAGCTCGGCCTTCTCTGAGTACCATGTAGAGGAAAGAAGCTTCCCGCTTGTTGAAACAGATCAAAAAGTGAATTCGGAATCAAAGTTGGTAAAATTTTGTGTATTTAAGCATTTTCTTTTAACTGGCTTTTACTTGCAATATAACTTTAATACCTAAATTTACACTTGCAAGCAGCGTAGATATGTTTATCTAGAACAGCATTTGCGATGTCACAGAAAATATATTCAAGATTGGATAAATGATATATTACATGAAATATAATACAAAGCAGTCATATTACAATCTTGTAATAATCATCAGATGTTACAAAAACTTTAATTAGCCAGGAGACTTTATTTCAGACAGTGTTACCATGTATGCTATTTGATCTTACTTGGATGAAACCCCAGTGCCAGTAATATTCTTACTTGAGCCTGTCTCAGGTAGTCTCTCTGCCCTTCTAATCCAAGGAAACCATTACTCCTGGAACTGGCTTCTCCAATAGGGACTTTTTTTTACGTCTATGTACTAACCACTTGAAAAAAAAAAAAGTAGAGCGCACAAGTAATTGGAGAGTCCTGTCCATAGTAATGGTCTAAGCCAAACTTTGAGGACTGCAGTATATCTGGATGTCTTGGAAAAATCAGATGCCTAGGTGAGTGATTTGCACAGATCACAGCACAGTGAAGCCTTGCAAAGAAAATCTGTCGTCCTTGCACTGCAATTCCTATTTATGCATATTTCCTCTGGAAAGCTCCTGTCTGATAAATGCAGTCATGTCCTACATAATTGTATAAGTCCTGTTCTCCTATAAGGGACGAGCTGAGATGAGCAGCAGGTCATATGAGTTACTTAGAAGAGGGTAGTTGGTTTGCTTTACGTAGTTCTGCTAAGCAGAGCGGTTCTCAGCAAAGCAAGAAAAGATAGGCTGTGGTGAATAGCAAGTTGGCTTTACATTAGTGCCCTCATTCTGGTCATTCTTACATGCAAAAGACAGAGTTGATTTTTGCTTTTTTTTTTTTTTTTTTTCTCTTTTTCTTCCCTCATTATTTCAAGTAAAGGAAAAAGCATTTCAGCTTGGCTTTGAAAAGCTAGAAGGGTGCCCATGGTATGGGCTGTGGTAACACCCTGCACAGGGAGGGCCTGAAACAGCCCAGCCCCATGGATGAGCTGCAGACACTCCTACCTGTCCCAGGGGTAGTGGGTTTATCCCTCCTAGAAGGAGCTGCTAACGAGTCTGGGCAAACGCTGCTGGGGAAAGGGCAGAGGGGATAAAGAATTAAAACCCCCGAGCTGTGCAGTGACGGGGCAGCTACCAGCATGGCTTTGTTGGGAGCCCCACCGAGTGGAAAGGGTGCCCAAAGAAAACCCTGCTGCGTCAGCTGCGGTCAAGTTGAGGGGCTGCACAGCCCAGTTGAACACAGCTCGGGGCCTGGCTTAGCTGGGGGACTACAAGGTCTGGAGCTGTCATGGGGGGAGCAGATATGGGTTTGCTCTCTGGCTTCCTTCTCTTCAGCTGGACTTACCTGGCAGCTGTGGACTGAATCCATGTGATGCTCTTTTGCTACAGGTCACACCCCTGCAAGCTCTTCTTCACATGTTTTATTCCAACTTCAACCACAATCATAGTTTTAATATAGAGAAGGGTGTGTAGCCATATGGGAAAAAGCCAACTTCGCTTTGGCTTAAGAGATATAGCAAAGGGTATCATATCAAAAATAAAAGTTGCAAGTTTGAAAACCGGTCCTTTCCGGCATGGATTACAGCTTCCTTGTTGCTGCCTCAAAGTTTGAGGCTTGAAGTACTTACGGATGAATGGTGTATCCATCTGCTAGGCTGCTGGAAAACATCTAACATGTTAGCTCTGAATAGCTTTATTTTTTTCCTTTCTTTCTTGTTTTAGAAGTAGTTGGGCTTGAATGCTCTGGAAAAGCTGAGATGACGTATTTAGATCCAGAATAACTGTAACTGGCACATGCTCATAGCATCAATTCCACCTACTAAAAGAGGAATCATCTAGGCTTCTGCTAGTTTAAATACAAGGTGAAGTATAAGCCTAACATACACTCACTCAGTATATACTGGCTGAATATAATCCTGAGAAACAAAAAACATAAATCTTACCTTAATGCTGTTTTCATTATACTTGTGCTGTTTCATTAAATTACAATTTTTGCTTAGTACATAAATTCTCAGTATTAGTTTGCCTTTTGTTCCATTGTGCAATCTTAAGAACACAGCAGAAATACCCTCTTTTAGTACATAAACAAACATTACATTACAGGACAAATTTGTCAAAATACAATTATACTAATTTCTATACAATTCTGGAAATCCTCCTCCTTTGGACTTCTAAAGTTCTACTCCCTCCCCACCCCCTTAGAAAATAACTGATTGTCTTAAAAAGTCGAAGTACATAAAGTATGCTGATAAATCAACTTGAGCAAAATATTTTCCAATTCCTCTTTTAATTCCAAAATAGGATAGGACGGATCACCGAGTGATGCCAGCCTTTCTTTTTTTTAGCATTATTTTTTCATTATTATGTTTTAAACTAACTCTCCCTGATAGGGGAACAACATCTGAGCAGTGCAAGTCCCAGTGGGTTTATCTCCCCCAGAAGTTATGAATATGGTGTACTTGTGATACAGACACATGTTTTATCCCAAGGTGTGCTAGGTACTCCCATGTATAAAAAAGCATGTGCAGAAAAGCGTGTTTTGATGTTTGATATATAGCTTTTAAAAAGCAGCTATTCACAATTCTCAGTTTTTTTCATTCCTCTTTGATAAAAGTCCACCTCTTTGAGAAGCTCAACTGACCGTTGCGATGGCTGGAGTCTTTCCGCCGTCTCCTTCAGCCCCTTCGGCCCCTGCTTCCACCTGGTTGAACTTACCCATCTTTTTCAAGCTCTCCAACGTGGACTTGAAAGTGTCTTTCAGGCTGTTCTCCAGAATCCAGCCCTCGCTTTCGCACTCGGGGTCCTCGGGGTTGCTGATGCTCTCCAGGGAGGTGTGCAGCAGCCGCAGGCCGACCATCACCGACACCTGGGCGGAGAAGGAGAAGACCACGCGAGTCAGGGGCACCTTCCCGCACCCCCTGGCGCCGTGCGCGGCCCCTTGCTGCACCCTGAGGTTTGGGGCATGTATCTCAATGTGATCAAGGAGACAGTCGTGAAACGGCATCTGCTCCGGGCACAGAGGTGTTAGCGTTTGGGCTGCCATCCTGTCCCATTCCAATTCTGTTTTATTCTTACATAGTTAAGTGTAAATAATAGAATCACAATGCCTTTCTTTCTGGTTATAAAATATTCCCTGATCTCAGCAGCAGCCCTGACTGGGACTATTGTGTATTATGGGGTGTAACCAGCACCCCCAAACCTGCCTCCAGAGAGGGAATATTTTTAACTTCGGTCTTCTAACACTGATCGGAGTAATTTGACTTCCATCTCTGTGGTACTTGGGAAGAAGAGTGAATGCTCTGAACTAGAGAAGGATGAAACAGAGCCAGAAGAGCCGGCTCAGTGCAGTGATGGAGCAGGGGTCTGCAACCCTGATGGGGCAACGGTGGGGCTAGTTCAGTCTCCCATGTGTTTGGTAGAGCTAAGATCTAGACTACTTATTCTCATTAGCAGCTTCACAGGATTTACTCTGTTGATCAAAACTCCTCCATCCTAGCCAAATTCTCAAGGAATTGATCACCTCTAGTCTTACCAAATCCCAACAGCCACAGGCATTCTATGTGCTTGGACCTTTCATTAGCCTGTCACCCTGCTTACGTATCATCAGTGTCTCCAACCTCTTGGAAGACTAAAGCTACCTCTGGTTGCCTTTCAAATTTTCAAATTTTCTCCTTTCATTCCAAATCAGAGAGCTCCAAATGCAGCTTTTGTGTCTTGTTTAACATAGGAATATATGACTCTTCACTTCTTGGTTCTTTTAAAGGCTCCTAATGGCCTTCAATCTGGAAATAACTTAATAGCTTTACGACTTTACCATGTTCTACAAAGACTTAAATGAACTGACACACCATTCTATAAGGGTTATAAGAAGTCATAAATCACTTTACAGGAGTCTTAGGATATAAGGTGTTTTACAATCTCCTTTCAATCGTAGTCTTGGGGTTTGGTACTGTCAGCCTTTGGACTGGCATCCTTCACGCTAATGGTTGTTGCAGGTAGGTGAGGGGAGAGAGTAAGTTCCAATAGGACTGGATGCAAAAGACTGCTCTTTAGTTGTGCTACCTCACTGTGTGTCAGCAGGAGCTGTCTGTGACTGACTTGACAAGCCCCCCTCTTCAAGAGCAAAAGGAGTGTCCTTGCAAGCTGCTGGAACTGCTCTGTGTTGCTAAGTGTGTCCTCCCTTCAACAGGGACGGGCCCATGTGACCTACCCTCAGCTGGGAGCCTTTGACATCTTCCCTCACTCAAGGGCACCCTTGTCATGGACGTTCTGCTCTGAAGGGCTTTGAGCCCGGGATTAAGGGGCGATGCAAAATAAATGTTTTTGTAAGTGAGATTGCATTTTCTGAGGTGTGAGAACCCAGAAAGTTGTAGACAAGGATCTGTCTATCTCCTGTGTTCTAGAACAGAGCTTTGGACTATGGGATTTGCTAAAGTAAATTATTTGGCAAATTATGTATCCAAAAGCCCTAATGCAGGAAGCTTTTGAGTAGCCTACCTATTACTGTGTGCAAGTCCTGGCCAGGGCACTTAGAGGCTGTCCACTGTGCGTAGATCAGACTATCAAATAAATTATGGCAAGCAGCTGACATTGTATGCTGTTTCAGAAACATCAGTTAATGCTTCAGCAGGCTTTGGCTTTACAAAGATGCCACGAGCTGTAGACCCTTGCTTAATAACAATCCAGCAGAGAAGTATCAGTTGTCAGAAAGCCAAGCAGCTTCACTGATTTCCCCTGGGCAATGCACAAATTGCCGTAGAAAAATAAAATCTTGACCTTTTAACAGTAGCTTTAAAGCAGGAGGAAGAACAAGTCTACAGTGCTTGCTTGCTTACTTTGTTGGGCTCCCAACTTCCAGAATTCACTTTGGGACTCAATGTTATACTGCTTGTGAGAAGAATTTCATGATCTTGGCCATCACAAATGACTGTGATCTATCAAGCTGTGCTGCTACGGTAGGGATTAGGAGTGTCTTAGAAATCAGCTCTTGCCCTCCCACCTGGTGGTCTTTACTTCTAAAGTGTTCTGCTCAGGACAGCCCTAAATCCCCAAATTTCCTCTTTTCACTGGCTGGAGCAGGTTAAAGAGGCAGCCAACCTCGCTGTGCTTAACCTTCAGAAGCAAAGCCCATCTGTTTGCCAGGGTTTAGCCTGAGGCGGCTTAGCTAGAGCGTGGTGTGATCTTTTTTTGTCACCCTGATGACTGATTGTCCGTCCCTGGGGAAAGCCTACTGGTTTTGCCAGCAAAAGCAGCATGTAGATAATAACGCATTCCCAGGAAATGTGGCATTCTGCGTGTTTTCAAACAGATGTTTTAATACTTCAGAATAGGTTCTTTTTTTCTTCTTTTTTTTTTTTTTTTTCTGTGCATCTTTCAGTCCAAATGGCCCTCCCTGAGATCCCTAGGCTGTTTGACACGTTACGTTTTTTCTGTGGCTTAAAGTACTGCTGTGATCAGCTTTCTTCTGTGCTTTGTACACAGCTACCCATACCACACAGCTACCCATACCAATACCCATACCAATCCCAGCTACCAATATCATTGTCCCAGCTGGAGGAGTCTCTGCCAGCCTCAGAAGTGCTCTGACCAAGGTGGTGCTGGAGCTGTGCGGCTGCCTCGAGTTCACATCAGCTCCAAGGGCAGAGTGAAACAGGAAGGTACCTGATGAGTATTAATATTACTATTATTATTATTATTATTTTTAACCTTCTCAGCAAACCAGTCAAAGAGAAAACAGAACAAGTGTAAAGCTAGTATGCTAACTCCCTGCTGTATTGCACATTGCCTTGAGTGAAATCCTCCCTTAGCCCTGGTCTAGACCTCTGTGGCACTGCTGCTCAGTATTACTTTTTTCCAATTCTGACTGGAATTTAAATTAAGTGGTGATATTCCAACGGAGACTAAATTAACAGCTCTTTTCTTTCCTTTCTCTCTTCAAAGTCACCCTGTTTCCCTTAAGAGCAGAGGGACTTTGAGATCCAATCTGGACGCTTTATTGCAGAATATCAGGCCAGCTATAAATATTCAGGGATCTAATTAACATAGCTCAGGATTGAAAATGCCTGTAATATTTCTCTAAAGCTCTACTCTGAAAGTCCTCTGATTACCTGGAAAAAAAATCAGTGTTTATTTAAACAAGAAGATGGTATATCATATTACTTCACAGCTCGAGAATCTTGGAAGTATTACCAAGGTAGACCTTGAGGACTTGGAAATAAAATATAATACTTCTAACAATTATATTTGTTTTACTGTATCAATGTAGATCATTGTTTCATTTATGGAAGACCGAAAATCTTCCATAACTTGATCCTGAGCTGTGGGTTTTTGAATATCTTTACGATTTTATGCAGTTGGAATGCCCCTCTCTTCCTGCATGTGCTGAGATACCCAGGGCAGTCTTCTCTTTCTTCTTACCAAGCAATACTTCTCAGTCTGGCATAGTGGTTATTTTTAAAATAACGCAGCATGAAGCAATTTTGTGATCGCTTGTTTTTCCTCTGGGTTTACAAATCACTTGGGTGAGTATTTATTTATTGTTTTACAACGCATACTCATTCCAGGAAGCAGGCAGGCCAGGCCTTGCATCAAACCGCAATGCGCTTTTTTAAACTAGCCTTCCTCTACATTTTTTGATTTAAAAGCGGGCCAAGCTCTTTAAAATCGGCAGTGCCATTTGGCAGCAGCTGTTTCTGGTGCTGTAAATGGGTGTCTCCAGCCCGTATCCCGCTGGGATTCGGGGCCTTCCCTCGCTCCCTCCCGCGGCGCAGGCCGCATGGCCGCCGTTGCCTCACGCTGCAGCCCGCGTGACATGGCGGCCCGTGCGCCCCTCTGCCCCGGCACCCTGGCCAGCCGCCTGGCAGGCACCGCTGGCCCGTGGAAAGACGTGGGATTTTTTCTGAATAATCAGTGTTTTAGCAGCAAAGCTGCGCTTTGGGTTCCAGGCCATGCAAACGCGCTGGGCGGCATTTGCACCTTCTTGGCCCACACACTGGTGTTTCTGGAAGAACAAAACTGACCCATACGCTCCACTGGGCTACTTTGTGTGACTGGAAATGTTGGTGAGCCTGAAGAAGAGCCTTAAAAACACTGCTGAGCTGACACTGGGCATTGCACATGGCGCTAGGTCCCAGGTTTCTCACCACATAAAACTCTAATCTGTTTTTTTGGCTGTACTATGCAGCCATCTCTTGCAGTACAGTTCTGCGCAGTTTTAGTTCCTCGCTAATGGGGACTCACATAAAAGCCACGGGGTTGGGGAGCTGAACCTGTGCCTGCTCGGCCCTCTGCCTGTCGAGGAAGGGCCGAGGCAGCCGGTTACCTCGAAAAGCCAGACGAGGAGGACGACGGCGCCCATGGAGCTCATCATGCTGGCGTAGTAGTGCAGGAGGGCCTCCCTGCAGCCGCGGCTCCACAGGTTGAGCTCCTCCGTCTGGTAGTCGTAGCTGTAGTGAGCCGTGTTGTTGGTGATCTGGTACTGGATGCAGGGCCGCGGGGAGCTGGGGTTGCAGCAGCTGAAGGGGACGCCGTCGACCAGGTACCTCCCGTCCACGTTGCTTTTGATGCGGCTGCGCGCGCGAGGGCAGAGGGAAGTGTGAGTATGCTCACAAACAGGTATATGTGAGAAAACACAAAAGGAAAGCAAAGGCAACATCCACTTCCCTGGCTGTGCCATTTCCCTGCATGCCCCATTTATATAGGGGCATTCTCCCCAGGTGTTTTTCCTTTCTGAAATCCCTTCCTATGTCAAGGCTAAATAAAATCTATAATTAGCCCTGCGTTACTGGAAATGCGCCCTCTCTGGTCACTGCTTTGATAAAATTTACTTTTAAGAAAGCCAAACGGCAGTGAGAAATTGCATGAAGGGCCATCGGGAAAGAGCGATCACGGGATAATTAAGGTTGATGGAACTGGTGGCAGTCGTCTGACCGAGCTAAATGCCTAGGCGGTCCCAGATTTATCTCTAGATGTACCAAGTTAGACAATGGGTCTAATTCCCATTGATGTATATGATAAGATTTCTATACAACTCAGAGAGAGTGGATCACACATTGGTTTTATGAATGACTGAAAAATCACTCCATAAAGGATGGACTGTCACCTTCCTGGTCCTTTGCTATCCAGTTCAAAGGGGCCACATTATCCCACCATTTGTGTGAGTAGAGACTGTACAGCACTCTGCAGTTCAAACCTAAAAATTACTGATTAGTGCCCATTTCTGATGTCCCATTTACTGTCACCGTAGTACAAAGAGATCCCCAGGAGTCTCACAATCCTAAACTCGACACCGTTTGCAAAGGACGATAAACCTTGTTTTCTCTCCATGCTTTGCCCTTCTACTGCACCTGGATTAAGTTACAGCTTTTAAATCTTCATATAATGCTGGCAAGGTGAACTTCTTATTGTGTTTCCAAGTAGCTATTTATACCCACGGGCATACCTCCTCAGTGCAAATACCCCCTTATTAAATAGTCAGTGGGTGTATTTGTTAGAACGCAGCAGTGCAATAGGTTAACCCTGTAAGAGCCTTCCCCGGGGTGTCCTACTTCGGAATTACACAAACAGCCAGACCACCCAGCTCACCGAAGCAGTGTGCACAGAGGCACAAACAAAATACCATTTACACAGGCAGGCAGGCAGGCATCCCATGAGACACACAGGGGTTTTTCCAGAATTGCTCCAGACACTTTCAAAGCACGCAGGATATTTTAAAACCAACCTGCTGCTAGTTTACAATATTCCCCGTGCTGCCAAAGAGCACAAACCTAATGAGGGATGTTCTCAAAGTAACCTCAGTAAATGTCTCTTCCAAAAATACTAGTTGATTAAAAAGTTGCAGGTATTTATGCTGCATGTTCACTTTTTCTTTTCAGAAGTTCTTTTCTTCTCAGTACATTTTCTCACTTGCGCTCACTGCGCCTGACCTCGTTTGGAGATTAATATCCTTCCAAGCACTGACAACAGAGCAATTAAGATGTTTCCGGTCAACAAGCTGTTGTACTTTATACAGAAGAAATACTACTGTTTTCACATGACGTTTAAAGAAAAAAAAAGCACAAGTAGACGTTTTCAACATGTGGAGGAATGTAAAACACATCTGCTACTTTAGCAGCCCAATATTGTCATGATGTTGAAGCAATCCATGAAGTAAATTTGAAATTAAAATTTTAAATCTTAAGAATTTAAGATGCATGGCTTACTGGTAGAACATTACCATTTTCTGTTTATTTCTGTGAGGCTCTTGATAAAACTATTTCTGTTTATTTCTATGAGAATGAGAAATTGCCAATATCTAAAGGACAGCTTTAAATATGGTATCAACAGTATATATACAGAGGACCCATTTTGCCAATTCAGTAGGTCCAACTGAAATCTGAGGAACAAGAAACTGAAACTTTAGGAACAAGAAGTTCTCATACTTTGCTGTTTGCCAGGCATATGTTGGGAGTAGGTATATGAGGCTCAATGTAATGACTTTGTGAAGAACTAAAAAGATAGAAAAAACATGTTTTAAGTCTCACCATACTTTCTCACTTTACCTTACAATACGAGTGGGAATCAAATTTTGGTGCTTTATATTTTATGAAGTTCTGGATAATACTAGAGGGATTTGCAAAATTTCTCAAAAGAGAAAGTAATGTATCTGGCTTCTTGGAATCTTTATTAAACCAAGAGAAACAAGAAAACAAAAAGTATTTTACATGTACCCCCCCAGCCACTCTGTGTGGTAATATATGGGTCTTTAGCATAACGCTGACCAAATAATGATCCTATGCAATAAAAACTCCATTAAATCACTTACTCTTTCACTTCCTTGGAGCTGAAGTCCAGGTATCTGTTGCTGATCCACTGAATTTCAAACCAATCTCTGAAGCCGTTGTTTCCACAGCATTTGAACTCAATTTGGAGCATGTCGATTGTCTTCTTCATGAAGCACCTTCCAGGGGTGTCTGTGTCCCTGTAGAACTTCATGCTGTTCTTGAGACCGTGAGCCAGGGTGCTCTCCAGAGAGCCTCGCATGAGAAAGCAGATCAGAGCCACCAAGAAAATGAGGATGTTAAACAGGAAGCATAATGCCAAGTAAGGTTTCAGAAAAGGCTTCCACTTGGCAAATTTAGTGGGATCCAGAGAATCGTAACAAATTTTGCCAGCAAAACCGTTGAAGGCGCAGGATAATATACCCATCAATATCAAAGAATTGGGCACAAAATGGCTTTCAGCATTGTCCATCACTTCGCTTCGCTTGCGGAGCTCGATTTTGAGGAACAGTCCCATGCTAAAAACAATGATTCCAGCAAACACTGAAAACCAGTTCATGAGCCATAGCCCCTGAGCTAGTTTTACCCGTTTCTTCTGGTTGAATTTGACTTTCAACAGTGCCATCTTCGTAAGGTGAGGTGCTGAATGTTTTCACAGCCCGAATCCTTCTCAGTGCAAGCAATTCCAGAAAGAACCATTCAGGCATTTGAAGAGCCTCTGAACGGCACAGCACGAAGCGAGCCGCTGCTTGGTCCTTCCATCGTGAGCGCCTCGAGTTAAGTTTCAAGCCAGCAAATATTCAGAGATCCAAATTAATAATTTCACATTAGTAATAATAATTGGCAATTAGGACCTGCAACTATTTCTGGTGGTTCCTTCCAAGCAAAGGAGAAACAATCTCAAGGTTTCAAATGATTTGATCTGGATCTGCAAGACGTCATTCTAATACCTTTAATCATTTGATCCAATTTAGAGAAATGTCTGTCAACAGATGAGTGGAAATAATCCCTCATTTTACTATTTAGTAGATTTGTTCTTTCTTATGATAGGCTACTTGGTAGGATGTGCAAATACAGAGATATAAGAACTTTGTTACCAGAAGAATGTGGATTCTTTGGTGAAGAAGCAAAAGGCTCCGAGATAAAAAACAAGGCTGCCTGAATACAAAAATACACCTGCTCTGCATGATCCTGGGTTATTCATATCTGCAGCTAGGAACACCGGTCCAAGCGTTATCCTTCTCTGTTTACCCTAGATGACATCCTGTGGCTTATGTGTCCTGGGAGCAGAGAAGCGTGTAGTTTACAGTGACCTAGAAAAACCTAAGCTCACTGTTTTCTATTTACTTTTGGAGTTTGTACAATCTCCAGACCTTGACTGGAGAGAGGAGAAATTAAAGTTCAAGGAAACTCGATAAATAAACCACAGCCTAAAATCTAGATGTGCTTTTTTTTCCCCCAAAGAAGTGAGTTGACATGAGCAGCTTATTGGATAATCGCAGGGCCAAGCAGGGAAGCAGGACTGGCCAAGGAGACGCAGAGAGGAGTTGCCTGCGCCAGGCAGGAATGACCCTGGGATTGGGAAGGGTCTTTTCGGTGCTTGGGCAGTTTTGCTCCCTTTGAAGCATCCTCTCCTGTGGCCCTCTCGCCTTGTAGAGGCAGGAGGGAGCAGTCTTGCCTTGTAGAGGCAGGAGGGAGCAGCCGTGTCCTGGGCACCAGCCTCGTTTATTCCGGGAGGAGCCACAGGGCTCAGCCTGACCCGCAGCCCCTCGGCTGCTCCCGGTGCTTGGGCACCTCCGCTCGCGGCTGCAAACACAGGGGCTGCAGAGAGGGGAAAGGAAACGCTCCCTAGGAGGACCTAAGAGGAAGGCAGTGTAAAACACAGGTTTAAAATGAAAAACAGTATGAAAACCAGCTGGAAAACAGTATTTAGACAACCTTTCACTGCACACCTCAATGGAGGCTGTTCAGGTGCTATCTGAGAGCTCGGGATACAGACATTTTCATGATACCCAGCTGCTACTTTTGTATTGCAACAAGCAATAGATAATTTCTGTGATGGACCTTTGCTGGTCCAGCAAGCACCGAGTTCTTGTCACCCGTGCTCCCCAGCTGCAGAAATAGCCAGTCCGGGCGCTGCCGCAGGGACCTGGAGAGCAGCTGCTGCCTGGGGTCTCCCCAAACTGCTGCTCCGCGGGGCTCTGCAGCCGCTGCAGGTGAATAGCAGGGGCACAGAGGAAACAAGAAGGAAGTTATGTAGCTGGTGCCATTCCTCTTACTTGCTATGAAGTGGAAGAAAAGTGCCATTTCTCTGGAGAGTTTGTTAAATGCTTTTGTGCTGTAGATGAAAGCACTGCAACACATACCTCCTGGCTCCTCTGCAAATATCACGTTAACTCTGCCCTGCAGGTTGCTGCATTTCATGGACTTTTCCAGCTCGGAAATACAAGAGTCTGGAGGGTGCATTTATCTGAGAGCTTGAAGTCAGTCCTACATAAATGAATGTGATTTTCCTTCTTCCAGTGCTCTTTTTCTTAAAGGTAACAGGAGGGGTCCTGGTAAATCACTCATAAATAGTTAATGCCTCTGGGAGATGATCAGTGATTAACCTGAGGTCCAGGAAGGGACACGCCAGTGCTGCAGAGCTGGACCTTCAGGATTTCAAATGATACTTTGGCTCCTCTGAAGTTGTCACAGAGAACAATCCACACGACCAAAACAACTGAGATTTGGAAATTTGCTCTATTTATCCAAGCAGTTCAGATAATTCAGCACCAGATGGGAGCACAAACTGGCTCAAACTACCCCCATATGAAATCACATCACCACGCTCTGGAGCTTTAAAGGGGATCACTGACAATAGGTCATATGCTATATGACCTACCTTCCAAAAAATGAAGTTGAGAGTTATTGCTTCCAGGTTACCTCAGACACATTGCTGACAAGGTCTGTGCAAGCTTCAGCCCAGGGACTACCAAAGCTGTGCTTTCAGCAGCACGGTCTGGCTAGGGAATTAATCCATGCTGAGTGGAAAAGCCATGGAAAGCTTTTGGTGGGGAGAATGGAAAGCAATGCTGGTGGGGAGCTGGAGCTGGAGACAGCGAGAAGGGAGGAATGGATGGAAAAGGGTGATGCTGCCTATGTCGGGGTGCTCTCTGCCCAAGCGCTGTGCTTATCTGAAGGCAGCGCTCCCAATCTGTGCACATTTTCTAGCATGGGGAAGAGCCCAACTCTTGCAGGGGCCCATATGAAAATGTGGAGGGACTGATCTTACAGACTCCAAATGTTCAGCTGAGGGCTGGCTGGAGCAGAGTTACCTACAGAAAGAAGGTTGTGGAGGATCATCAGAAAGTGCTCTGTGGTGCGGATAGCACAAGGAAAAATACTGGTTTTGCCTCGCATCTGCTTGTCTTGCAAATCCTTGTTTTTGTTGGGATTTGCCTATAATTGTGGCAGATTTACTAATTCTTCCTACTTCAAATAGAAGGCATTGAAACCTGGTCATAGCAGATAAGAGCTAGTTGCAGTGAGAATGTTCAAATGTTCAGATTATTGGTCCTCTCAGAGGCTGGATATTAAACTCAAATGTATAGTTCATATGCCATGTTGGGGAATGAAAAAATAAACAAAAAAATCATAATTGATCTGCCAGAACTCCCCATGAAAGTGCTTGAGTAAAAAGTATTGTTAAATATTGTGATTTCCATAGATAACAATGTGGTATTGATACTTTTCAGAACAGTTATGCCTTCTAACCTAAACATAACCTATAAAATTATCAGTGAATGTTGAGAGGGAGGAGAAAGTTGTTTCTAATGCACATGATCCAGCCTGGTATTTGCTACCCAGTCGGCTGCCCAGGGCTGAACTGGTTTGGCTCCTTCCAAAGCCTTCAGTCCAAGTGTTTATTTGCACTGCTGCGATGCCTAGGATGTAGTGTAGCTGTTGGAAGAACAGGAATTCTGGACTCATGTTTGTACTTCCAGGAATAGGGAAGAAAGATGTTGGGAACTGGAAGAAGCTCCCAAAAAAGCTCATGGTAGTCGTGACTCCTGGGGAACCAAACAGATGGAACCACAAGTAAACCAGATGAATTAGAAGAGATCATGATAAATCAGATAAATTATATCATGATGTGAATGGAAATGTTGGAATTCCACAAGTAGAACAGATTTTTTTTTTGCTCTTCTTGATATTTCCTAGCCTTTTCATAGCATCGCCCTGTCTGGGTTGAAGTTGGCTTCTTAGGAGAGTACAGAGGGCACAGAACTGGCCCAAGTTCTCTTGCCCAGCTGAGATGGTCCAAACAAGGAGGCCGCGCATGGAAAACGTCTCATGTGGCAGACGGGGTGAGGAGAGGCAAGGAGAGCCTGACGGAGGGTGGGCTGGATGAGGGCAGAGGCGAGCAGAGCGGTGCTGCGGGCCCTACGGAGCTCCGCGTAAATGATCGTGGCAACTCCAGAGCAGTCTACACCTCCAAAAGAGCACCACCAGGATCTTATTTTCAAATTGTTAGCTTAACTAATGAGAATATGTCAACACCTTTATTTATTTTTTTTTTTTAAATCCATCTTAGTGGAAGAAATTACAGATGAGGAAAACATTTTCATAATATTTTAACATTGATAAAGATGACACTTAGCATTTAATAAAAACATAATACCTCTTCTGTATTTAATCCCACCCTGCTTTTAAACACTTTGTACGAACTTGATGAGCGTATTAATTCTCTCAGTGCATATGAATTAGTACTTTCCACTAGATTTGACTAAGAATGGATTTCCTCTGAAGCAAAGAGTGTTTTTCTGCTTGCAGGATGCCAGGGCTCCACGTGAGCATTTCAAGAATTATTTGCACTGCTGTTGTCACCAGGAGCTGCTTCCTCTGGGACACACACATCATGCAGATGACAACCAGCTCCTGCTCCTATGCACTACTTGCAGCTCCATTTTCAGCAGTATTTTTAATAAAAGTTATTATAAATAGCGTAACAATGTATTAGTAAAGCATAGGTGCTTTTCTTTAAATAGAAAAACCTACTGGAAAAGTTGCTATTTCTGTACTGTCTACAAATAAGCTCCCAAGCATTTTATAATGCATAATGTGTGTTCACACATCCTGTGTCTATTAATGTTACACGCTCGCTTCAAAATAGTTTAAATTCCTCCTTGTTGAAAACTGATTCTAGATTTCTAGATTCTAAAATAAAAAGGAGTGCATCGAAGCACATCTAACCCATGTGCATATATATGAACTATGTATTTAGAACTATATACATAAAAGATTTTGCATGGGAAAGCATTTTCACAGACTTACTCTGAAATTAAATTATATCATGCTGAAAACTAAGATTCAGTTTCCTCTTTCCTATTCTGAAAGTAAACATTAATGATAAGAGGAAGTCTCTAAGAGTAACACTGATTAATGTTCCTGATGAATATTACCTAGTAATTTTTAGTCTGCTGAAAATTCAGTACTTAAGGAGAAACACATTGAGAACTGGACCATCAGCTGAACTTCAGAAAAGCCTATCATCAGCTGAAATTAAGACCCAAATATCCTGTTTTTAATCCACTCTCTCTTTATTAGGGTAGTACTGCATGATGCCTGGCCAGCAAGATCAGAATCATGAAGTATGGAGCAACTGCTGCTGCAGACAGGTGCTTGCATGTTAGGCTGTGATTTAGGGTGAGAAATGCCCATCTCTGATTCCTCGTAGCCATATCTGCATTCCTAGATTTACCAGTCTCCATGGTAAATCTTTACTTGCTTTACTTACTAGCAGCAAGTAAAATTGGGAGTGTTTATGAGCTTTGGCTTGCAGAACAAGAATTTCTACAGTTCTTACAAAAATTGAGACGAGTTACAAAACTAGAGGACATTAGGGAGACTGATTTGTCTCAAACATGGTGAGGGGGCAAAATAACAAATCAAATCACACATGCACATATACTATAGGGCCAGTTTCTATACTGAGGTATACTTGTTAAAATTAAGACATTTGAGAAATTCATATGCTAAGATCCCTTTATTAGATATTCAAAAGATACCAAAAATACCAAAAAGAAAAAAAAAGGACTGGTATTATCTTTAAATTATTTTATGAAGTCCATTATTAAATACATTTATAATGACTGAAAACAAGTATCTGAAATGCAAAAATCTGACTCGGACAAAAAGTATACATCAAAAAAAGTAAACAAACTGAAGTTTCCAAAATACGTGATTTTTTAGTTTTGCTTGAAAACAAATAGATGCTTCTCATCTGCTCACAAGCAATGAAGTACTCGAGTGATATTCGACATACTCACTGCAATAATACAATTTTTGATTATTTAGTTAGTATTCAATGTCCTTTACAGAGGCAAATATATGATGGCAGGGCAGCATAAATATTTGCTTTTTTTTTTTTAATAGAGCTCTGGGCTGTTTCTTAGGCATGATAAGCGATCTGATTCATTCAGAATCCTCAAGCTAAGGAGTGTTTTGGAAGGGGAAGCTACTACATGTGTACTCGGTGTGGGGACAGGGCACTTCACCGTTTGCAGGCACTGCAGGGTCACGCCACAACAAGAGGCTGCTGCTTTTTTGGTTCTGAACTTTGGTGAGGAAAGAGGGGCCAGGAGAAGCTGCTGTAGCCCTGCCTTCCTGCAAGTTAATGTGAAGTCTGGAATATGGCACTTCCGTCCCCCTGCATTTATCTCGCTCCCTCTGTGGGGTTAGCACTTTAGCTGCAGCAGCAGCGTGTTGTAAGTGACACTCAGAGCACCCAAGATCACTGCACATCATCTACGTGCAGGCAAAATGGACATGGAAATAGGTCAGACCTGAACAAATCTCTATCCTGACATTTCACACTTACAGTATGCTCCAAAATAAAACCAGCCATTTATCTCCAGTTAAAACTGTTAAGTTTGCAGAAAGAGCATCCATTTACCTAACAATTTCTAACTGTGAGCTTTTACTATTCATTCTACAGGTTAGTTAATTCCAACCAATCATTTACTAGTATGATAGTGGAGCACTGAGTTCTCATTAGAGACCTTTAAAGTCTTTATTTGTTGTGGTTCTCTCTCCCATTCTCTGTGACATTAAGCTCAATGGTGTATTGGGGTCTGAAATTTAAGCGCCCTGTGGATGGGAAAATTTTGATATTTCATCTTTCCATTCCAGTTCAGCTTGCAGCACTTTCAGACATTCATGCTTAGTGTTTGCTTAGAGCACAGCTAGCCCTAAGCAGAGGCTTCCTCTCATCTGTGCACTAAGGTCCCCACTTTCCCCAGGAAAAAGTCAGCGACGACGTACCACAGCAGTGGTCAAGTCTCCCAGTGGCATATGGAGATTATAGCAGCAACTTGCTTCAGAAGAGTAAACGACATTTGACTGGTAACTTTAAAGCACAGAATTCAGTCAAACATTGTAATTCACAACTTAAATACCAAAAGCAACTGTTTCACGGTGAAGCAGAGCCCAGGGTCCTGCTGTTCGTGGAAGGCCCCGCTCTGGCAGCACTTCCCGCCAGGCACAGGGCTGCCTCCTCGGTCAGTCCCAGCAGGTGATCCTTTCCTGCTCAGGAATGAGGCCCCAGTTGGGCGACGGCTGGTCCCTCACCAGCCAGTTGAAGTCATCCACCGTGTTCCAGTTGTTGGTGCTCCTGTCCAGCGCGGAGGCCTCGAAGTCCTCCTCGAGGCCGGGGTAGCTCCAGGAGTAGGGCGCGAAGGCCACCTCGGCGCAGTCCTCGACCACGGCGCGGCTGCTCACGTGCACGTAGAAGCGGCTGCGGCGCGTGCGGTGCGCGCGCAGCTGCTGGCAGGCCAGCACCAGGACGCACTCGCTGCAGCCGTCCACGAGCGCCGAGGTGGCGAGCGGCCCGCAGAGCACGGTGCAGCCGCGGCAGTCCCGCACGCGCAGCGTGTTGGCGCTGCCGCGGAGCCGCACGCGGCACTCGCGCAGCCCGCTCAGCACCACGTCGCGCTGCCGCAGCTCGGCGCGGCCCAGCTCCAGCTCGGCGCCCTGCGCGCCGCTGAAGCCGCACAGCGGCTCCGCGTCGGGCTCCCCCTCGGCGCAGCCGGGCG